TCCTCTTCTTTGTAGCTCTGAGTAAAGTTCTAACACAAAAGCTCGTTAGGTTGGTCATTCGCTGCTTTTCTCTGTCCCTCTTGCCTTTAGCATGTTGTTATACCGGAACATACCTATTCTATTATTAATAGACTCTCCCACAGATAATAAGTAGTAGTAGTAGCAGTCGCCAGTGAGCTCAGGTGAGTTGGTGAGTCAGTCGATGTCGGACATTAAAGTATCAACCACCACAACTAGATTGCTGCGTCATTAACTATTATTTCAAGTTCCTAGCGTTTTGTACGTCGAACCTTTTTTAGGACCGACTTAGTGAAATACAAGCCTCTACTGTGAAACTACTCTATAACACATTGGCGACGAGGGATTCTCAAAATTTTTCGTTCACTCTATAACATGTCTTGTGAGTGTTAAATTCACCAAGCCCACTTTCCTCATTATGTACCCTAGAAGTTTCAACAGTCACATTCCAACTCTAAGCACAAATGTTCTTTTTGTTTTCATTATCCTTCAAACTTCCTCCATATTCACATTTTCACTCCATGGTTATTCTCAGCATCCTTCTGTAAACTCTCATCTTTGTTGCTTTGTTTTGCATGCGATTACAGTTTTCCTGCAACATAGTTTGTTCCGGAGTTTAAAATTTAATAACATCGCGATTCTTCAATTTCGGATTCTGATTTTCATCGTTTATCCTCAATTGCTTCAACATTGAAAGTTGGTTCACTGCATCGCGCTAGAAAATTTTTCGCTCCAAAATCGATCTAACATATTCATAAGTCTTCCATTTATCCTTGCTTTGAATATTACTGCCACATATGGTCCTGTGCTTCTGCTATATATTTAAAGATTCTTGATAAAATCCAAAAAAGAATCAGCAATATTTTTGGTCCTGACCTGGCATCTCGGCTTCGGTCATTTTCCCACCGCTGTAATATAGCTTCCCTGTGCCTTTTCTGTAAATATTTTCATGGCAATTGTTCGGATGAACTTTCCGCCATGGGTTCTTAGACGGTATGAATTTAAGCGCAGTACTAGATTGGCAACAAGGTCTCATCAATTTACAACTGAATTGGCTGGATGTAATCGTAATTTTTATGCTAACAGATTTTTTTCTCGCACTTCTTGCTAATGGAACTTTTTTTTTAGATCCATGCTTTCTCGCCAATTTAAAAGCAATGTCAATCGTTATCCAGTGTCTTCTTAATTACTCTTCTATTGTTCTTACTCCTTAATGTATCTCATTTTTCTTATTCGTTCATAATCAGTAGCCCCCTGTATCTTAGCGACTTTACAGCCTTGCATGGGGTGAAAAGATTAAAAAAGTATATTGCTTCAGAAATGTAAATAAAAAAAATATTAAGAACAATGGAAACGGTCAAATTGTGTGAAAATAACACATATAAGCAATAAATATGTTACAACAATAAGGTTTGGAAGCGTGGCCCAGTGATTAAAACATTAGAACATGTGTTCGAATCTCACCAGAGTCGATGTGTCCGAAAGATGACTTTTTGATGTTATCGGTTTCTGGTAAGTTCCTGAGAACCAGACCACGGATTGACTCAAGCTTTGTGAGTGAAACGAGGATTTGAGGGTACTGGCCTGGTTCAAACTGTTGATCACCACAAAGATGATACGCTCTCTTCAAGAAATTGTAACAGCAATATACAAGTATTGAAATTCTAGCAATATTGCAGAATTATTTTTAAACCCAGTTTCAAAGCCATGGATGTTGCTAAATGAATTTTAAATATCAAAGAAAATTAAACAAGATCTGATTTCCCTACCCAAATCTTGTTTCAAGGGAAGCGACTTGCTCCCTGAAATACAGATCAAGACTGGACGAGCATCAGCTGGCGTTTGTGAAACGCAAGTTAGAAGAAAACCTAATCATCAGCGTTCAAAAAAGTTTCGAAGAGCTAGAGATCATCAAAAAAATATGCATTTGGGGAACATTAAATGAATTGAAATAAATTCAAGAAGATTTGAATGCGAAACTATTTTTGATACAGTCCAATAACTAAATTGCCTGATTTGTTGTGTATTTTCAAGATGAGTACGATTGAATTTGAAAAGGGCGTTGCGTGAGACAATTCTGTACTCCGGAAATGCCTCCAACCTCTTAAAATATACTTAAGGGAATGCTTTTTCAAAGACAACACCCAAAGAGCGTATACTGATAAAAGAAGAAAAGCAATGACACCAACAATAGCATATCTGATAATAAGCTATTTGATATGAAGATACGTTACAAGTGGTGATGCTAGGTCAACAACAGGAACAACAGTTTCAAAAATCAATAAGACAGATACCACTACCACCATCACCGCCGCCACCACCACCACCACCACCAACAACAACAACATCAGCAGCAGCAACAACAACAATAATAATAATGTAAGGAATAATTATTTTTCAGACGTCAAATGTATAAGTTCATGTTCTTATGAAAGTTGAAATAGGAGGCCTAATTATTGTACATAATCAAGGACGGAACTAACTGGAAATGCAGGATAGGCGGGAAATATGGTGAAACCGTCGACCATATTATCTCAGGCTATCCTGAACTAGCAAAAAACAAGATAAGCGACATATGTGCACTGGAAGATATGCAAGAAGCACGAAATCGAAACCACTAAGAGATGGAATGGGCACCAGACACAGTTACCCAAAATAACGATGTAACTATCCTCTGAGGCATGCCAACTCACACTGCCAAGGAAATAAAAGCCAACAGACCTGGTATTATCATGAAAGACAAGAAATTCAGGAAGTATATGCTTATTGACATGAAAATTATCGTGAAATTGTCCAAATACAAAGATGATGTACACAGGAAGTGTGGAATGAAGACTGAGACTATACCAATAGTAATCGGAGCTCTGGGTTTCGTGAGAAAAGGAATAGATGATTGTATTAAGAGTGTCCCAGATAACATCAACATAGAAGTTGCCCAGAAGATCGCACTATTAGAAAATCCCATGTACTAAGAAAGGTACTATCAATTAAATGACAATTCTCATATAGGGTCTAAGGACCATAGTTTGGAGTCATCTCTATAGGTTACAAAGCAGAAAACATAGCATAAACAAATAATAATAATAATAATAATAACAACCGATATGAACACCACCCAGAACAAATTACAACAATTTTACGAGACTTTACAACACATACCGACAGAACAATCAATGCTAATCGCCCATATATCGTGATCAAAGACCACAAAAACAGAATGTGCTTTCTCATTGACATGGCAACTCTTGCAGCTTGTAATGTATCTTTGAAGATCTAAAAAAAAAAACTATCAAAATACAAAGATCTTCAAGTGAAAATTTCAACAATTTATGGCACATGAAAACGTCAATAATACCAATTATGGTTGAGGCCCTAAATTTGATGGGAAAAGATTGTGATGGATTCACTGAAGGGAAGGGGTCCTCGGCAGCCGAAGCCTTAAAAAAATGTTCAGCTCACACCTTACGAAGGATGTTATCAATATATAATGTGTGTGTGTTCTTAGGTTGTTTTATTTTTATTTTACAAAAATGTTCAGTGGAAAACATCATGATGCCATTTCTGACATTAGATCTCTGGTTGGGACCCGGAAGAAAATGCGTATACAACAGAAAACAAAGTAAATGTTAATAATAATAATAATAATAATAATAATAATGATAATAATAATAAAAGGAACAGAACAACACATTGAAAAACTCCCTGGAACTCCCAGCTTAAGAGAAATAAATAATGTCTTGATATGTACAGTTCACACGCTAAGAAGAACTTTGTTCATGTAACGCTAGTGATGTTATGGGAGTTAGAAAAACAAATTATGAAATGTAGCCATAATACACCACTACCTGCCATAGATGTTCCAGCAGACTTGGTAGGTAGTGTGATCATAGCAAAAATCGAATAATAATAATAATAATATTAATAATAAATGCCCTGATGATAACTTGGACATGGCGGTCATGGCTTCTGAACTTAATTGATTGGAAGTGTCAACATGTACTTGTTTTGGTTTAGTATGTTAAGATGAGTTACAGTAAATATTGCGGTCAGGACCTCAGATTTACGAGTCAGCTGTTTGACCGCCACCAGTTGGGCATGTTCCTTAACATCTGACGCATTATACATATCTGTTGCTGGAGTATCATGACTGGGCGTTGTTTTTTTGTTTTAAGGACGAGGCAGCAAAGGCAACTCGTGAGTCATATCTAGATACTTTGAAACACCCACAATGGAAGACCCTATGAGCGGACTGGATTAACTGACTTGAAGGTATTTTTAACTGCACCCTATCTGCAAGGTTATTCGCTGTTTGACAGTTATACACCTTATCAGACTAGTTGTCATGATGGATATATGTACACATCTAAATATTATAACTATGAGATAGTATCAAGCCAACAAAGTGACGCTGGGGTACAAATAAACGAAACCCAATATACTCATCGTAATACCCAGTCTGATGAGTGTATACCAAGTAAATTCATCACATCCTTATATGTACGATATGGTGACAGGTTTTGATAAAAACAGGACATAACATTGCAGGTTAGAAATGCCCCCAGGTGGAGTAACGCAATCTGCTGTGATGGTCTACGATTCCCAAGTATTTGGGTTTTTACTCCCAAGCCAGCTTTACCGTCACATCCTTAAATCTTATTGTTATTAACAACACCTTAAGTGCCAACGTACGTTTTTTTTTTATCCATCAGTATATTTATTGATTGATTTTTTTTACGGTTTATCAACCTCTTTAAGGTAATTTAAAACCGAAACATATTTATAGATTGTAAGAATTTTTGGAGATAATTATGATTTTCTGATACAAGTCTTATTATTTAACCCATAGCTAGGAGAAGATGGGAATTCATAGCTTTCCCAAGGGTATTTGCACTTAAATATCAGGAAGCCGAGTGAAATTTGAATTCGGCTCTCCGATGTCTCATTCGGAGCCGTTATCCATTACACCACCCACACATCCAAGCTAACAGCATCTGGTATTCCCGGGCGGTCACCCATGTAGTTACTGACCAGGCTCGACGTTGCTTAACTTCGAATATCGTACGAGAATCGGCGTTTCAACGTGATATGAGCATGAGTCTGTTCGTCTTTTTAGGCCAAGAATAAAACTGAGATTTCCGAGACGCTAAAATTACCGTTGGTTACCAGTAAGAAATATCTTCAAGTCGGGTAGCGCAGTCCGCTGAGATGGACTCCAGTCGAGGGTGTTCACAAGTACCGTAATTGCATTATTATTATTATTATTTTGCTGTTATGTTTGAATTTTATTTGTGTTGTTTGTTTATATGATACTTAAAAGACACTCAGTCTGTTATGTGCCATACGTGATACACGCATAAGCGATCATGTATCTTTCGATTCATGAGTGACTAAGAAGATTTTCCCGCTGTAGGCTGCCATTTATTTCTGCGGTAGACTGGTCGTCAACCAAGGCTATGGGACTCAAACTGTTCTGTTAGCTAGGGTGGGTGTTAGAATAGGCGAATTCATATCTTTCCCAGGGGTATTTGCGCGGAAGTGAATGTAAAAAACTTGATTGGAATTCGAACTCTGCCCTCCAATTTCTCATTTCGAGCCTATATCCTTTTACACCACCCGCACATCCAAGACCAACATTGCCAATATTCTGTAAAATATTCTGTTCAAAGCTCACAAAAAGCGATTAAAATTTATCTTTTGATCCCCCTATTGTGGTCTAATATCGAAGTAAAGTGAGCGCTGGGTTAAAAAAACAAAACAAAAAAAAAACAATGAAAATTATATAAAAGAATAAATCGTGAAATATTAGGAATGGCAACGTTCCATGCAAGAATATCAGACATTTCGTAGATTGATAGTCACTTTACGAAAGTGGTTCATTAATTAGCTAATTTACTCGTTTATAGAGAAAAAGACATAGCATCTCCCAGTAGAACAGCGACACATACAATAAATACATTTTTGTAATTAAGGATATATTAAGAGATAAAAATTGCCGTTTTATATTCATTTAGAGCAGCTCCAATTCGTAGCAAAAAAAAAAAAGGTAAGTTTGTTGCTTGTGGCCTCTCTGTCTTTTGAATACGACGATAGCTACAGTTTTTTCTTGGCTGGGAAAAAGTTGTAAGTAAACTTTCATTTTTCTGCTGGATAACATTTGTTTTCATCGTTTGTTCTGGGGACAGAAAAGGAAGGGAGGGAAAACAGTGAATAGGAGACAAAAAGGCATAAAGAGAAGAAAACAGAAAAATAAAAGAAAGAAAGAAAGAAAGAAAGAAAAATAAGAAAAAAAAAAGAAAACAGAGGAAAGAGATAACGGAGGAAGAAGAAAGAACATTTTCGTCAAAAGTGGTAAGAAACACATTCTAGAAAGAAAGAAAGAAAGAAAAAAAGAAAGAAAGAAAGAACATTTTCAGCAAATGAGATAGGAAACATATTTTGCAAAGAAAGAAAGAAAGAAAGAAAGAAAGAAAGAAAGAAAGAAAGAAAGAAAGAAAAATAGCAAAAAAGAAAACGGCAAAAAAAAAGTAAAGAAAAGAAAACGGAGCAAAAAGAAAGAAGGCAAATCAAATAGAAAGAAAGAAAGAAAGAATGAAAGCAGAACTGACAATAAAACATTGCAAAAAGAAAAAAGAAAAGAAAACGAATGAATAGGAAAGAGGGTAAAAGAAAAAGAAAAAGAAAGGACTATCGTTGTAGTCAAAAGGGCAACACACATTACAGGAAGGAGAGTAAAATTCAAGATGTTTTTAGACAAGCTGCCTGAATCAGCTATGAACAGTAACCGGGACGCTCTTTCAGTGTCTTTTTGAGAAAGAAAAACATTAAGAAAAAAATCTTGTAAAAATAGGCAAAAAAAAAAAAAAAACCCAAAAAAAACTACTTCCAATGAGTGCTGCTGTCATGAATCTAGTGTCAGGTTACCATTGTGCAGGACCGTGGGACACTATTAACTGTTCTATTTACAAACCCTCAAAGAAACTCCGGCGCATTCGCTTTATGGCTTGTATGGAAGCCAGTTTATCTTCAGAGAATAACCTAAGCGTGTCATGTTGAAAGGAAAATTAAACTATATCGTTATACTTTTGAACGCATGCGCAGTAAAATATTCGTTGCCAGGGTAACGCACAAGACATGTTAACTACTATATTTGAATATTTATGAAATATCTAGATCAGAGTATATTTGCATAACTACGGGATTAACTTATATAAGAAAAGTAACTCAAAACATATATGCATGTATATAAATATCAGCTTAATTTAATATATATATATATGTGTGTGTGTAGGGTGCGATGGATAAATTGTGGTCTAAATTACACAAAAATGAAAATAACACTGACATCTCATTTTAACAGAAATATTTACCAAAATTACACGAAAATATCTTGAAATACTAAAGAGTAAATTTATTCAATAAAATCGACATTGTCTTCAAACATATTCCCCAGACGACTTCGGAATCTCCTGCAACTCTTCAGGACGGTCTCCTTGTTTAAGTTGGTGAATGTTGCCATAATTGCCGATTTATATTATCTTTGGTCTTACAATGGTCTCTCGCTCAACTGCGCCTCACACATAATAATCAAAGTGGTTGGAGTCTGAGGAGTGAGGTGGCCTGATGGAAAGGGTGATGTGGCCGCAGAAATTGTCTGACAGTCATGACTAGGTTCTCCTGCTTGTGTGGCATGATGCAGAGTTCTCTTTGTCAAACATAGGGTCTTCCACAGCCACCCTCTTGAAGCAGGACAGCACTACATCCTCAATGCAATGGATGTAGGCCTTTGTGTTAAGTTTGAGGCTCTCTCCAACAAATTCGGCAGTTCTTTTCATATCAGAACGACCAGAGTGAGTTTTCCGAGCTGCCGTACCTTCGTAATCACCATTAGACTCATCCACCTCTTTCTGAATCCTTCGCACTACCCGCAGATTAACACCTAATCATTCTGAAATGTTCATATTGTAGCATCCGGTACGAATGCCAACCAGTACAGCATGCTGCTTCCAAAATTCTGGCAGAGGGAATTGCGTCAGAGTACCCAACTGACTCTACTATACTGTGCAGTCGAAAATTAAAAATATAAAATGGCGACAATTTACTCATCGCACCATGTATGTATATATATATATATATATATATATATAGATGCAGATAAAATGCTCGGCTTCTTGTACGGCTCCAGGAAGTACTTGGCATCTCATGCTATCCTCTATCTTTACAAGAGCCACATCAGGCAGAAAAATGGTGTACTGTTGCCATATTTGTACGAGAGCTGCCTAGTCCTCACTTTCCAGTCTTGATAGACTAGGAAAGTATCCCCGAGTCCTTGTGAGTAACGAATTATTTTCCACTCTCCAAACTCTCTCCCAGAGGCGGGATGTAGCAATCCTATCGCTGATCGATCGCTACTTCCATGAAAAGTGCTCTGAAGAACTACACTCCTTGGTTTCACTCTGTCTAACTTTCATCGTTAGGACCCACCATGCCATGTATATTTTAGCAAACCACATACATTCCATCCGCATTATATATATATATATATATATATATATATATATATATATATATATATATATATATATATATATATATATCATAAAAGTTAATGAGCAGAGTTGAATATAACCAGGAAAGATTAATAATAAAAAGTGCTCAATACACATATAAAAAAAAAAAATAAATAACATGTAGAGCTTTTAAGTATAAAAAAAAATTTGGAAATCAGCCAATACCGCTACCTTAGTTTCAACCTTTCAGTATCTTCAGTTGATTTTGATCAAATTCGCCTAAAAATACCGACTGGTTGAAACAAAGGTAGCGAAACCGGCTGATTTCCTAATTTATATATATATATATATATATATATATATATATATATATATATATATATAGAGAGAGAGAGAGAGAGAGAGAGATCCATGCGTATGTACGTATGTATGTTTGTGTATCGTAGTATTTAATATTCAGCTTAGTCAAAGAAATGTTTGACCAGCAAGAGGCTGGTAACTTAAACTGTTTGTCAATGTATCCACTTTGCATGGACCATCCTATGCTGACCTTGTGTTATTTTTTTTTTCATTTTTTTATTTTTTTATTTATTTTTGGAAATTTGAAATGGTGACTAAACGCAATTCTGAAAACTCACAATTTGGATTGTTTTCATTGCTAAAAAAAGAACAGCCTGTTTTTATCAAGTGGTACGCTTACATCTATATCCACGCAATTGGAAGTCATTTAAGTAGGATTTAGTAGAGGCTCCAAACAAATTGAGAAGATTGTGGCTAGATAGTAATTTTTTTTCGAATCAGTGTAATTGGATTATAAATATGAATGATTACGTCATTTTTCCATTTTACCATTCAATTAAACAACACAAACACACACACGCATACATGCATGCATATATATATGTGTGTATATATATATATATATATATATATATATATATATATGAATCGGCCTGAAGACCCGTGTGGCGAAACGAGATAAACCTGGTAAGGTAATTAAATCTTTATAAGATAAACTGCGCTTTAGGCATTAAGGAAGTTTTTAAATCTGCTAGGACTGGTCAATTTCTGGGGTCCCGCAGTTGACTAAACAAGAAGAGATTGAATATCTATCTATCTATCTATATATATATCTATCTATCTATCTATCTAAAGGTTTTGAACTCGCAAAAAATTCCTTTAGACAAACTACGAAATTCAAAGAAACGTAACGTCGAGTAAATTCTACCATATGGCTCAACATACAAGAACAATCCAGAACTATTTACAGTAATTATAAAAAATCTAGACCCACTTAGCAAGAATGAAAAACTGAAAAATAAACTAAAACAACCAAAATAATTAAAAGCAAACGCCAATCTAAAAACCTGAAACACATATTAACCTCATCAAAATTTAATCAACACACGATACAGGGAATAACAAAATACAAAAAAAAAAAAAAAATGATGTGGGGTTTGTGACATCATTATAGAAGGAATCTCCTACACTTTTGAAAATCCGAAAACGACATTCATAATAAATAAATATTTAAACTGTAGCTCCAAAAATGTGATTTATATACTCAAATGCACAAAATGCAAAA